GTCCCAGGCTCAGACAGATGAGGACAAACAGTGCTGGTGGGCAGGAAGGTTTGGAGTGCTTCGAGGAGGAGGAGGGAAGACAACCAGGACAGGACAGAAAAGGAGAGAGGAGTTTGAAGGGAGAAGCCAGAGGCCCCCAGGGAGGGGAGAGCTTGCACTGACAGGTGAGAGGCACTCAGGACTGGCATGAGGTATGCTTTGCTATTGCTCTGAATGCTGTAAACATTTTGGTTTTGTGTCTATCAGTGAACATTCAGTTCAGTGTGATACATGTGCTCTTAGGGGTAACTGGAAACCTAGCAGAGTTTTACATCTCTTACTACTACTTGGACTTACACACGAGGCAAACACAACACTGGCTAAAGATCTCAGTTTATGTCATTTGTGCCTAATTCTCCTATTTTAACATGCACATCTATGTCTCAGAAAAGCTTCTGTAGTAGAGGACACTAAATAAGATACAGATGAAGTCACATGCACTCTCATCCACCCACACCCCCAGACACACACAGCAATTTCCCCCTCCCTTTGCCCTTCACACCTCCCCAGCATGGGCAGCAGGGACCCCTTGGTGCCTTAAGGAGTCCACTAAAAGTGGAGGAAATCATCCCAAGCCTGGCTGATGGACCAAAGCAGGGGAAACTTTAGACAGATTAGAGTTCTGCACCTGACCCTGGAGTTAACACCGCCTGAAGCTCATAGAAAAGGAAAGTTGTAAACTCTTTTTCCCTTCTGCCATCAATCTACCTGGGAGCTGACTGGGTATGAGCCAGCAAACAGAATAAAAAGAACTGAGTGAACCGATTTTTTTTTTCCCTCTCTTCATGTGATGGCACATTTTAACGTTGCTCCAAACAGGAGGAAAATTTTGAAGGTGTGTGCTTGTGGAGAGGGGAAATGGGTTTGTAGGTTGTGAGTATTCCTTTCACACCAGGAAGAGATGAATCAAGGATAGGATATTTGCCCTTGGTGGGAATTAGTCACCACTCAGCTCTTTCCAAGGCTTTGGCTCAGTCTTTATTTCCTTGATCAGCCCCTGGTTTAAGGGGTAGAGCTACAAGCTGCTTATTTTGATTTAATTCAGAACAACATTTGTCATAAAAGAAGCAGCTGATGCCATTTTCTTGTTTAAGAAAAATAGAATTTTACTTTAAATAACTAGTCTGCTTTCCTTCCAGAGAGGCAAACGGCAAGAGCAGCAACAAAAATAAGGAGTGGTAGACTCAAATGCCTCAGACAATACTATTGCTCCACTCTGTGTTTTAGGATGCTGTTGCCAGTGGAGGGAACAATTTACTGGGGCCCAGTTTGCTGGGGAAAACACTTCTCCTACATCAGCCAGCCTGATTCCAGCTCCTGTCACCACTGCAGCAATGACATCTCCAGGTGTGCCCTGCTCCAAGCAATTTCCCAGGTGGATGGAGGAGATAAGGGAGCTTGGATTTGCAGGGTGTTGGTCACTTTGAAGTTTTCCCATGAGTTCTGATGTGAAATGAAAGGACTTCCAGCACCAGCACTGCTGGAGCATCTTGTGGAGAAATGGAGTCACACTCTGGACAGGAGCAGGGAGTCACACTCTGGACACCAGGGGAGCCTGGGGCTGTCCCCACTCACATTCCTGGACACAAGCCTCTGGTTCCTGCTTGTCCCCTGGCCTGGCTGTCTCTGTGACCCTCCCCAAGGTGCTGCAGAGCCTTGTCTGGGGTGCCTCAGCTGGCACTAGAGCCCACCCAAGGCCACTCAGAAGGTCTGTCTGGAGAGTTGTCATGGCTTTCTGCCTTCTCTCTAAAAGCAGTGACTGCTTCATCCTCCTTCTGCTGGCTCTCACATCCTGGGCAGCTCTGGGATGCTTTTTTTTTTTGTATGTACAGGCAAGAGGAGGGTGGAAAGGAAGAAGGCAGGGCCAGACAAGGTGGCCTCGTTCACCACTTGCAGCATTTGTTTGATGCCACAGTGCTGGGAAGCTGAGCTGCTCTTTGGCAGCAGGGAGTAAAATTGGGACCACAGGCTGATGCCTTAAGATTTTAGCTTTTGGATTTTTCAAGTCCTACACTGTATTAGTGCATAGCTCTAAAGTCCATATAAAGTGCAGTTAATTCTCTCCACATTTTGGTCAGACAAAACAATCCCTCTGGGCCTGTGATCCAAAAACACTTTGCAGCCTCAGGGCCCAAAAAGGATAAACAAAAGTGAATTGGGGGGAGCACACTGGGGGTAAATGACTTCATTACCTGAAGCTGTAATTGGAGGATTAACCCCTGATATGTAAATGGATCAAACTTATAATTGTCTGAAAAACTCATCACCATTGTCCATCTTGGGTGTAGCCTCTGGGAGGCTTCTGGCTGCCCAAGGTGTGCCTATTGAATACCTTCAATAAATACTCACTTTATCCTCTTAACTCTGTCTAGCTTCTGTTCTAGACAGCCACTCCCCATCAGTTTTTGGTGACCCAGATGGGAGAGGAAACTGCAAAAGGAGCCTGTGGCCCTGGGGGATCCCAGTCTGTCCTGTGTTACACAGGGGTGGCAGACAGCATTTCTGGGAAAGGGGAGTTCCTCCAGCCTCTGCTCACAGCCAGAGGGGGAAGATTTCCATCCTCCCTTGCAGGTCAGGCCCTGAGTGTGTTGTCACTGCAGCGTGGTTGGGTTTGTTCTTCTTGCTCCCTTCCCCAGGCAGGGGCTGTGGGGGTGATATGACTCCTTCTGTCTCAGATGATGTGGCTGGGGGTGTGTGTTCTATTTGCCATCTGTCAGAGGTGGGGCAGTTCTCTGCTGTTCATTGGGCAGACACCTTCCTACAGCCCAGGCAGCGCCAGGGACAGCCACTGGATGTGTGGCTCTGTGTCCTTTGCTTCCACCTCTGATTTCTTCCATGCATTGCACAGGTTCACCAGACCTGCCTCACTGTGCCTTGCTTGCCATAAAACTTTGGGACACTGGGCTCCTGCATGATCTGGTCCCCTTGGGGAAATCATGGCAAATCTGGAGCATTTTCCAGATGTCACTCACTGCTCCCCCTTTTGAGCAAGCAACAAAAAGTTTGTGTCAAACTGTCTCACTTCCAGACCTTGAGCTTTGTGTCTCCTGTGTGCCATGAGGGCCTCAGCAGTGCCAGGAGCTGTGTCACTGAGCCTGGTGTGGCTGCAGAATGTCACCTCTGTCACCACAGGCCAGCCCCTGCTCCTTGGGTGTCCTTGCAGGGGCAGGGGACAGCCAGGAATGCTGGGTCATTGCTGCTCTTTCTGGCCATTCCTCAGGGAAATTTAACTGGAGATGGGATTTGCCTTCCAAAGACCTGGAGGATTCTGCTGCTAACCAACCAGGTAGTGAAAAGCAGGTTTCCCTACTGAACATAAACTTTGCAATTGCAATTTAGACTTCAGTGTCTCGAAGACCACACAAATCCATCTCCAAAATAAATCCAGATAAGGTGGTACCTTATCTTGACCCTATTTGTCCTACTGTCCTACATATCATCCTTACAAAAAGCCCCAAAATACTGTTTCCTCCTTAATTGATGGACAGTAATTTTTAATATCCAGCCAGACTTTTTTTTCATCTTGTTCCAAAAACATTTTGCTTGGCTTTAGAATTCATTCTACCTCATACAGCACATTACACAAAGTCTGTATCAGCAGCTTTCTGATGTACAAAAGCCACCCACCACCCCTGGCTGGAGCAGAGGTTTACAGCCTCTGGTCTGGGGATGACTGAGAGAAGAAAAAGATCCATGGGGTCACTTTCCAGGCCTTCATTAAATTAAGAAAAGAGACCTCTGGTCTGCCGGCTCAAATCCACAGACAGGCTGTCTGCTTCTCCCCTCAAAAATATTGCAAGAATCTGCCAAGCTGGAGCAGCAGTGCCATGGAAATGGGGCCATCAGATGGAAGGAATTATTGCCCAGCACAGAGGAGGTGCTACACCCCTGGCGTGTGCACAGAGAATTGTCCTGCAGTGGCCACCCAGGCTATGGGAATAGGGCCACAGGGCCCTCACACCCCACTGCACACCCCAACACCCATCCTGCTCACCCCATGCTTTGTGTCCCACTGGGGGCAAGCGCCCTGCAGCAGGGTCTGTGTCTTGGGGAGCTCTTTGCAGGGCACTGAAAGCACAGTGGACACTCAGTGAGTGGGAACAGTCAGTAAAAGGGAAAAAACAAAAATAGAAATGGGATTTTTCACGTTGCCACGCGCTGGCCAGGTACCCCATGAAAAATGCCATCTGCTGTGGCAGACGGGCCTTGTGCTTTTCCTACACCTCAGCAACGGCCAGAAGGGACATTGCCTCTCTCCACTCTCTCCCAACAGGTCCTTCCTGAGGAGCCACCAAGCCTGTGGCAGCCAGGAGCCCCTTTGTGCTAGGCTTTGGTCCAGTGCCCAGCACAACAAAGCCTGAATGATGGCTGAGACTGAACTACCACACAAATAAATAATAGCCACAAAAAACAATCATTCACATTAGAAGACTTGCCTGCCCAGCCCTAGTGAGAGCTTTTGGGATTACCTTCCTCATGAGGAAAGCTCAGCTCCTGGAGAATACTCTGAGCCTCCATCCCTGAAGGAAAAGAGACAGTGACAGGGTGGCAGCCAAGCCATAAGGTGTACAGGATAAATGGGGAGGTGAGCTGGGTTTGCTGATGGCTTCCACTCAAGAAAGGGAATGAACCCTGTGCCTTTGTCTCCTCTCTGCCTCCCCTCAGTCTCTGGTCCAGACCCCAGCAGTGTGAGAGGTGGCCTGGATGTGGCTTCACAAGTGTCAGCACTGCCCTTGGGGCCCTCCTGGGCACGAGGGAGAGGTGAGAGACAGCGAGATGGGTGGAAGGACGGAAGGGTGTTATTTACACACAAACCAGCCCAGCCATTTTAAAGGGAACCTGCCTTGCCCACAGGTGACCCTGTGACTCCAGAGGGTTGTGGGTTTGTGCTAGACAGAGGGAACGGCTGCAAGGTGCTACTGCTAACAAAAAAAAAAAAAAAAAAAAAAAAAAAAAAAAAAAAAAGAAGAAGAAAGCACAGATAGTCAAAGAGTCTCAATACCCCGCTTGGATCACTCTCTGGAAGCTCCTTCTGCCCCTTCTCCCTCTCTTCCCATTCCCACTGCTTTTAACACCAAGAAAGTTTCACATTTAAACATGGGTTTTGGCTGTTGTGGGAAGCACGTGGTTTCTGAGAGCCCCATGGCTGTCCTAGCTGAGCCTCCTCTGGGTCTGAGACAGCAGGTCTGTGTAAATTTTGGATCTCAGGAACCTGGGGTACGAGTCTTTCTCCATCAGGCTGTGCACCTTCCCCTGAGCTTGGTCAAAGCAAGAGAGGGAGGGCTCCTGCACATTTCTTCTGGTCAGCTCCCGTGTCTGGAAGTCTATGTTCACCTGGGGAAAGCAGCAGAAGAGAGTTTGGCACTGAGTGTTCAGCTGGCCTCCTTCAAATGGCAAAATTCCCTCTCTGCCATGGCTGTGGAACAGCAGCAGAACCAAGGTCCTACCCCTGTCCAGCCCCACAGCTCTGGGGGTTTAGAGATTCAGGGCTGGGAATCCTGCCCCAAGCCCAGAAAAGTTGGATTTATAGATTTATATATATATATTCTGAAACCACTTTACTTTTACTGAAATCACTTTTAAAATTACTTTTATTCAGACTCCTAGGCAGCACATCACCTAAAACTGCTGACTCAGCCTAACCTCTCTCCTGCTCCCTCTCCTCTTCACCACATGCCTAATAAATGGGTGAATAAACTTTTAACTGGGTTTAAACCACTAGTTCTTATTAAATGTCTTTAAACTCAGCTGATCTAAAATAAACTGTTTGATTTTTTCCCATAGCAGCTTCACGTTACAATATCTGGAGGAGAGGCTTGGAAAAATAAACCACCCTCTGATGTTATGACTGCCATTTGTTTGCAAAGCCAGCCAGTGGAGTTTTCCTGCTCTCCTTCCCTAGTAGGGTAATCAGCATTTTTTAGGGTTATTGCCTGGAAGAAAAAAATGGCTGAAAAAATGTTATTTGTTGTTATTAATTCAGTGTGCAAACTGTAAGGAGCCTGGAAAGTAAAGCTGTCTGCCTCAATGTGGATGTCAGCAGTATCGATTAGCTCTAATAATTTCATATTCTAAGCATGCCAAAATTATGTAACAGTGCTAAGGAAACATCACCACAGGACCCAATTGTAGGAAGGACCCCATCCTACCTGCATTCCCATTTTTAATCAAAAATCAGCTTTTCAGTCCTTAAAATCTCATCCAGCTTCCTGAATAACAGTGAGAAAATGCTCAAGGAGAGTGTTGAGACCCCCACACACCTCGGTGTGAACCTGGGTCCTTCCCAGTGGTCTTGCAGTGGCTTTCCTAGCTGGGAGAGGGAGGAAAATGAGCCCTTTTTGGGTCCCTGACAGGCACCCATGCAGGAGCAGGAGGGGCTGGGTGCAGTGAGAGCCCCCCTGGCTGTGCTGTGATTGCAGTGACACAAGCCAGCGTGGTCACCAGGCAGGACCTGGCAGTGCCATCAGCAGGATCTGGCAGTGCCATCAGCCTGTCAAGTGCTTGAAAGAGGATTTAACAATCCTAGGCTTGGAGTGTGACTACATTTTCTGTTCAGCTCAGAGTTATTGTTTGCATCTCTTGGGAGGTCTGGGTGAGGGGGGAGTTAGTCAGAAACTCTCCTCCCTTGGGAGTTAACAAGTTACTCACAGAATCACAGAATTCACAGAATCACAGGGTTGGAAGAGACCTCCAAGATCATTGGGTCCAACCCAGCCCCAAGACCCCAAATAAACCCTGGCACCCAGTGCCACATCCAGGCTTTGTTAAATACACCCAGGGATGGTGACTGCACCACCTCCCCAGGCAGCCATTCCAGAGCTTTATCACTCTTTCTGTGAAAAACTTTTTCCTAATATCCAACCTGTATTTCCTTGGTGCAGCTTGAGGCTGTGTGCTCTGGTTTTGGCAGTGCTGCCTGGAGCAAGAGCCCAGCCCCAGCTGAGCACAGGCACGTTTCAGGGGGGTATGGAGGGTGATAATGTCACCCCTGAGTCTCCTTTTCTCCAGGATAAACACCCCCAACTCCCTCAGGGCTTGTGTTCCACTCATGGCTGGGATGGTCCTGTGCAAGGTGTCCTGCCAGGGAAGAGCCCAACAGCTCAAGGCTGACACTAAATATCAGGAGCACTGTGAAATGCTCCTGGGGAGCTCAGTGAGGTTAGGAAATGTGGGTTGAGGTTGCCAGTGAACTGTGACTAATTCAGTATCATCAAAGCAGTTGCCCTCATCAGGGATGAGTCACGGTGAGCAGAGGCAGCTGGAGCAGGCAGGATGGCGTCTCCACCGTCCTTAGCCGCGCTCTGAGAGGGAAGGGAGAGAGGGACAGCACCCAGCTGGGGGTGCCAGCCCCGCTGGGTGCCCTGGGCACGCTGTGCCACCCCATACCCACCTCCCGAGGGGCCTGCACGTCGATGAACTCCTCGAAGATGCGCTGGGCCTTGGAGGCCAGCTTGGCTGCCGAGCGCGTCTTCTTGAAATCCTCGCAGGCCAGCCAGAACTCCAGGTTCTCCTCGCTGAACTCTGTCTTCAGGAAAGCACGGAAAGCTGCCAGCCCATCTGCAGAAGACACACAGGGAGGAGAGAGTGAGGCCTTGAGGGGCTGCAACAGAGGCTAGGCAGAGGTAAGAGGAATAAAGTGGATATTTATTGAAGAGCCTTCAAAGGCCGCACCCCGGCAGTAGAGGAGTCGTGGCTCTGCCCAGGTGGATCCAAGATGGAAGCAAAAGAGGGTTTGGCCACAAAATCTCCCATTTTTATGTTTTGGTCCATTTGCATATTGGAGTTAATTGTCCAGTTACAGCTCCAGCCCATGCAGTCCCATCCTTCTTGTTTTTCTGTCTTCAGCCCACGGTGTTTGTGCTCTTGGGCTGAGATTTGGATCATTTGTCCTTGGTGCCCAGCTAGAGAAGGAATTGTTTTGTCTCCCTGCTCTGTGCAGAGAGCTCACCATCCCCTAATATGAAGCCCAGACTCACACACTAAAGCAGTGCAGAATCTGAAAAAATATAAAAAGCTAAAACCTGAGGCATCAAGAGAAGGCAGGGAGCTGTTCCATTCTCAGACGTCCTTCCACCCACCCTGGCCTACCAAAGAAAATTTGATGTTATCCCAAGCTCTGCCATCCCAAGATGCATCCATAACTTACACCACTGATGAAACAGGCTCCCGTGAGCTGCCACAAAGCCAAACATCACTTGATGTAACTCTGAAAAAAGTGTTTTCCTTTCCTAAGGTGGCAAAAGGTTTTCCTTTAGACTGGGACACCCACCCTTTGTAAAGTTACTCATGGAATTATCAAGGTTCAACTCATGTTAATGCCACACTTTATAAAGCCCTATCTTCCACTAAGAACAACCTTTAATAATACATGGCTGATGTGGACTTGTCTCCTATGTTTTCTGTCATTTTGCTTTATTGCCTTGTGCCATTTTTAGTTCTTATTTAAACAGAGGAAAGCTCTCAGAGAGTCTGTTACAGCTCCAGTAAAGGGGAGAGGGAAAGGACTTGGCCTAATTACGGCTTGTCTAGTCAGTGGTAAAAGTGTGCTTATCACTTGCTAATGCTCAGCAATTGTGACATTTCAGTAATGCAATCTGAGTCAGCCGGGGCAGATTAGAAATATGGAAAGATTTATTAGGCAATCTGTGTTAAACCCCTGCCTGGGCCTATTTATGGTCACAGCCATTGTTTTTTATTTCCTTTCCCTGAACGGCACCAGGGGAGTCGATGCAGGATAAAGTTAGCTTCTCCTTTTTTTTTTTTTTTTTTTTTTTTTTTCCCAGTAATGTGCTTCTAACTCTTCCTGGTCTTTTGCAATAGCATCCAGGTTTTTGTAGCTCATGACTGGAAAGCTCTTGGCTACTTCCAAGCAACTGTCTAAAAATACTGATGAAACTGGGGATGAGCCTGGTGAGGTCAGACTCCTCAGAAGGATGAAGGGAGCAAGGACAAGGCATGTCCAGCTTCTCATGCACCACCATCCTCAAATCCTTCTGGGCAGGGCTGCTCTTGGTCTGTTCATCCCCCAGCCTGCATTGATGCTGGGAGTAATCCAGGTGCAGCACCTTGCACTTGTTGAACCTCATGAGTTTTCCATGAGCTCATTTCTCAAGCTTGTCCAGATCCCTGTGGAAAATCCCAACATTTTCTCAAGCAGACCATTGAGACAGTTCCTTCTATATGCTGTATATGCTAACTATATGCTAGATATAATAGATATGCTATTTATATGCTCTCTATATGCTATATATATATGTGCTATGTGTGCTAGAGATCTATAGAAATGTAGCACTGCCCTGCATCTCCCTTGCATGTCCTAAACTTCTTCCTGCTCCCCTTGTTTCTGGTAATAACTTAGATATTTTCCAGCTCCCTCTGAAAACTCAAGCCCTAAGCAGTGGCCCTGGGTATTGAAGAGCACAAAAAAATCCTATTTCTCTCTGTGTGTCAGTCAGAGGAGATTTCTGACTGCCCGGATCCTCAGAGGAAAAAGGAAAATACATATTAGGCCAGACCAGCCCAAAGTACAGGCTAAACCTCCCTTCTCTGCCTTCCTCAAAGCTCTTTCATTTGGGTTTTGGTTTTTTTTGCACTGACTGCTCCATCAGCAGTCTGCTATCAGCATAAAAATGGATCCATCCCATCTCAGCCATGCTCCCTCCTGCTGTCAGCCCCAGAAATAGCTGCATTATTCCAGCTCGTCCTGACACTTCTTCCTTCAGGCAATTTTAGGAGGAGATCAGGGTTTTGCACTGCTAGGGTAGACAAAAAACAGGCCTCTCATCCAAGTAACACTGCAAATTGTGGGTCTGGGGCAATATTGTGGCATCAGCCCCAGAGCAGAATGCCAAAGGAGCAGGGCAGGATCACCCTTTGAGCATCCCCCTGGGTAGATAAATATGGTGAAGGTGAGGGGTGCACCTTCCTGAAATCTGGGACACAGAAACATTTCCCAAAAGCTCTGTCCCCCTTAGTGCCTCTGAAATTCCCAGGGCCTGCGTGAGAGCAAGGGAAGGACTGGAGAACAGAGCAAGGAGTCTTTGCATGCTGGCAGCTTTCAGAAACAAGGAAATAAAACAGGGAGAAAGTTCCAGTTCCTCAAGATCTATGTCATTTTATCAATCATCAGCTCCTAGGATGCTTGACATTAAATATTCCAGCACCAAGCACACTGCTATGTCTCTGCAGTCTCTGCTGAGTCCCTGCTGAGGTCTTGGTACCCTGTCCCTGTCCTGGTCTTTTTTTTTTTTTTTCCCCTTTTCCTCTACAACAGCCCCAGAGCTGCAGCACTGACAGAGGATCACTTGTAGGAATAGCAGTGTTGCATGAAAGTACACATCTGCAAAAGATCACTGGTGCAGAATAGAATATCTGAAAAATAGGATACCTGATAAACAAAATACCTTAAAAATGAAATATCTGAACAATATAATACCTGAGAAATAAAATACCTGTAAAGTATCATATCTGAAAAATATAATACCTGAAAAATATAATATCTGAGAAATAAAATACCCGAAAAATAAAATAGCTGAAAAATATAATACCTGAGCAATAAAATACCTTTAAAAAAACCCTGTAAAATATAATATCTGAAAAATAAAATATCTGAAAAATATAATACCTGAGAAATAAAATACCTGAAAAAAACCTGTAAAATATAATATCTGAAAAATAAAATATCTGAAAAATATAATATCTGAGAAATAAAATACCTGAAAAAATACCTGTAAAATATAATATTTGAAAAATATTATATCTGAAAAATATAACACCTGACAAATAAAATACTTGAAAAATATAATACCTGAAAAATATCTGAAAAATATAAAACTTGAAAAATAAAATAACTGAAAAATAGAATACCTAAAAAATAGAATACCTGAAAAATAGAATACCTGAAAAATAGAATACCTGAAAAATATTGTATCTGAAAAATATAGTACTTGAGAAATAAAATACCTGACAAATGTAATATCTGTAAAAGAAGGGAATGTCATGAGTGACAAGGAGAGAAAGGCGTTTGCTACAGCCCTGCCCCAGAGAGCAGCTGCACAGGTTCCCCTGGGACCAGGAGGTTTCCATGAGCTCTGCCTCCTGCTCTCATGTCAATCAGCTCCTTTTGATCCTGAAATAAGTTTAGACAGTGAATGGATAAATAATAGTGTCTGGCTGTTCTCTGCTGTTTTTTTCCCCTCCTGTCATGCAGTCCCCACAGCCTTGGAGGAGCTGCAGATGGTGAGGCTGAACCTGTGAGGGTCTTGCCTGGGACGCTTTGGGTGCAGGAGAGCTCATCCCTGCCTGCCTGGTTTTCCACAGTTCTCATCTTTAACCCTTGACTGCCTGCCAGCCTTTCCAGCTCTGCCTGACAGCCAGGTTTGGGGAATCACTGCCAGAAGTTTGGTGTGGAACAATGACAATGTGACTGAAAGGGCAGGAGGACAGTTAGGCATGGGAGCTGCCACCACCTGAGCTGGGATTTGACCTGGATATTGACTTCAATCTCCTCCTCTCCTTCACAGCACATCCAGGCTTTCAAGGAATGATCTCTCATGAATGATCAGCATTTCAAAGCTCATCCCGCCCTACTGGACATCTTTTTTCCCAGGACAGCCACCACTGGAGTGCAGTGTGCTACAAGCAGGAGAGAGATTTCACCTCCTGAAAAATCCCAGTGTGCAGTTCCAGAGGGATGCTTTAGAAAGCACAGAAGTTAAAAGCAGGACTAGAAGTCTGCAGAGGCAGCAGCACAAGATAATCCCCAACCTGAGCCCAAAGGCATGGCCACTCAGGAGGACAGGATGTGCTGCTGTGGCTGCACAGCCCTTCAGGACAGCTATTGGACAATTATTCAGGAATTTGCCTCAAGAGTCCTTTGCTTGAAGCCAAAGGAGGAAATTGGTCCTGGTGGAGCAGATAAGTTAAGGCAAAGAAGCAGAGCTCTTGGCTGGATGTTGAGAGTCTGAGGGAGAAGCAGCAGACATTTGATGTTTTCCTTTTGCAGTATAAATCTAAGCTTCAAAATGCCCTGCTCTCCTTTCAGACTGACTGAGGAACGTGCAAAGGGGATTGTGCAAGTGCTCAGACATTACTCAGGATCCCGCAGTGCTGGAATCTGAAATGCAGGGAATTCTCAGAGCTTTGGGCCTGTAAGCCAAAGCTTAGAATTAAACCCAGGATTTGATCTGAGACCTTGGGAAAGGCTTCCAAACTTAGGTGACAGAAGCAAGAATGTGGATTTATAGTTTAAAGCAGAGACACCTTAAGCTAAGTAAAGGAAAGTTTAGACTTTTAGAGTTTAATATATAGAAAAAATAGAAGTAGTTACAAAGGTAAATAAGGAGTTTAGAATACAGTACTGTAGGTTTGTGTGTCATGACATGATTGGCTAAGGAAGCTTACACTCTAACATGAGTCCATAAGACAAAATATTGAAGGATTGGGTCAAAAACATAAATATCCCTGTTGGCAGTGTTTTATTGGTTAATAAATCCTTAAAATGTCTTGTAACTAGGGGTCTTGTGACCTTCTGAACCATGCTGTGAAGATGTGAGACAAACTAACCCTTCCTGCCTCTGTAGAAGGTAAGAAAAATAAATCACATCATCTAAAAAATTCAGAGGTCTTGTCTCTCACTCAAAACTCCTTCAACAATCCCCATACTGCAGTTCATCTGTGAGTTAGGCAGTGGAACAGAATGAATTTCTGTTGTATGAATGGGCAGTGCCAGGCTGTTTGATGACCATGTGAGGACAGGGACTCCTGAAATCCCATTCAGGAGATGGAAAGTGGATCCCTTCCAGCAAGAAGGGACTGAGGTGGGGAGCAGAAAACACAAGACAGGGCTTAGCTCAGCTTCATCAGCATGAGGAAGAGCCCAGATTAGTGGCCTAAATCATTCAGGCAGTTTAATAACCAAGCACCTGCCACTGTCAGAGCAAGAAAGCAATCATCAATCATTTATTTAATGCATGTGTTTCACACCCTCAGCAACCAGACTTCATGCAGGGAGCAGAGTCCCTGTGGCTGGTGGATGGATGGACTGGCTCCCTGCAAGGTGTTGGGTCCAGGGCTGGAGGGACAGGGTCAGAATTGCTCTGCACAGCACACAAATGTGCTCTCACTGCTGCTGAGCAGAGCTTCCCTTCATCTCAGCTGCCTGTCACCAGCACAATGCTAATGCTCTTCTGGCTCAGAAAGAGCTGGGAGTGGGTTGGGATATTCCTGTGCTGTGTAGGAAGTGAAGGAATGTGTAGACAACAGAAGGAGGAGAACAACAATAAAGTTTGGGAGGAAGAGCACGGAGATCACAAAAAAATCCAGAGAAAAATCACCTTTTCCTCCAGATTTCAAAAAATCTGGGGGAAAATCACCCTTGACATAAAAGTGGGAATTCAGGATGAATGTTTTCGGTGTTGGGTGAGAAGTTTAGCAAGGGTTGAGGACAGACTGTCCTGCTGGATGTTGGAGGAACAAAAGTCTGTGTGTCCAGCCCTGTGGGGGATGCAGATGAGACATGCTATGGCTTGTATTTCCCTCCAGCAGGCTGTCAAAAGAAATGCTCATCTGGCCAGCCTCCTGGGCACAGGCACAGGCTGAGGATTACTCCTCAGTTACTCACAAGCATGCACTCACACTCTGGGGACCACACCGAGCTCGCTTCCCTGGCACAAAATGGGGAAAGCTGCCAAAATCCAGCGTGTTAAAACCACTGCTTTTCCTCCCTGGGCACCCAAGGAAACACTGCACATGGTCTGCCTCTTACTCTGCCAATTCCCTGACAAGAACAGCATCAGGCTCCCTCTCCTGTTGCTTGCTCAGAAGCCCTGACCCCAGGGACCGTGGCAGTGAGCTCAGACAGGGCTCCTGGTGTAAAATAGGGATTGTCTGCCTGACCCCACGGTTTCTGAGTTGATTTGCTCCACCCATCAGCAAAAACAATTAGGATTTCATTGCACTGACCTATGGATGTTGCTGCATCCTGCTGCTCAGCACTGCTCACTCCAGGAGGGATGAGGGAATGGAGTCCCAGGGCCAGCACAAAAGGGAGGTGGGGAGAGCCCTGCTGCATTTCCTACTCACAATCTCTTGTTAACTCTAATAACTTGTCAACTCCAATTATCCTTTGAATGGAAAATCAGACCAGTCTATGTAGAGAGAAGGGCATTACCCAGCCTGGGAATCACCCAGGAGAAAACAACTGCTTCAAATCCCAAGGGATTTCAATCCTCCTCTCACAACAGGATCAAACATTACCTGCAGTCATTCTTCAGAAGGGTGAGGGGAGAGCAGGGGAGCTCCCCAGGGCCATCAGCACTTCAAGGGATGTCTGGCAAAGGTGATAATGGAAACACAGAATGGTTTGGGCTGGAATGGACCTAAAAAAACACCTCATTCCAGCCCCTCTGCCATGGGCAGGGACACCTCCCACTAGACAAGGTGGCTCAAATCCCCATGGACTCTCCATGGAATCTGGATAATGCATGACACTCCTCAGGTCACTTCTGTTTAGAAACAGTGGGAAATGGATTTGTAGAGAATTCCCAAAGCCTGGCAGAAGGCTCACACAGTGTGCATCTGTATGCAAACCTTGAGATAAGAAATGCTGACTTGGAAATGCCATGGAATAGCACAGACATTGCTGGGAGAGAAATGGAACTAGAAACAAGTTTCAAAGGATGGTTTTGTGTAAATAAGACTAGGTGCTTTGGAGAAATAGACCTGTGAAATATGCACTGCAGTAGGACCCATGAGGAGTAATTTTAGATTATTTGCTTTAAGGCATTTACAGCATGGGGTGGCAAAAGCTGATCGGCCAGAAAACATTTATACTGTATTTTAATTAGGAAATAATTGGCTACTGAGTGTGATGGTGGGAATTGTAACACCTGTATTGTCTCACCCTTCACATGAGACTGAAAATGGAATAAAAGGTTTTAAAACACCTCTCAGTTACCCCATCTCTAAATCAGTATAATCCAACAAGAAACCTTTTGGAGACTCATGAAAATAGGAAGGGAATAGGCAGTGTTTTTCCCGTCTCCCAAAGTACTGCAGCCCTGTGAGCCTGCTCCGTGTACGAGGGCAGCCTGCTCAGCTGGGTCCTTTGGAGACCTCTTGGGGAGCTCTGAGCCACATTCTTGCTCCTTGGAGCAATTCTGCCACTTGTCCAACCCCTGGCAATATTACCCACAAGGTCTGCCCCGTTTTCAGCCGCTCCATCAGCTCCTGAGTCCTGCTCCAGCACTTTGGGGGTTATTTTCCCTGGAGAACAGTTTGCCTGGAAGGCACCTGATCTGTCTGAGTGCAGCAGAAAACGCCACAAAACCCCCCAAAATCACAATCCCCTTCCCAAAATAAATGAGCTGTCCATCCAGTGAAGACAGTTTCTGACAGATGTGTCAAGCAGAAGTGCTCTACCTGCTGATGCTGTGAGCCCCAGGGGGAATTCTCCCCAAGCCCAGCTGGTGCTCAGCCCATGCCCTCAAGCATGAATTCCAATTTTCCCTGGCTAATGCTGTTCACCTGAGCAGTCACAGGGAAATTAGACTGGGGCAGTTCTGTCCTCCTCTTGGCACTAAAAGCAGAATTTTTGCTGGCAGCTTCCCTCACAGACAGATGCCAGCAGGCCAGGCACAGTTTTATTTAATCCCAGATTTTGGCCTGTTAAGGCATAAGGCTCCCTTACCTGTGTAACATCAGCACATCCTAACAGCAAAAATGCAACTTGTACAATATAATTAATTCTATGAGTATGTGCTGTTCTCTCCTTTAAAGCAGTGTAACTAAAATAACACTTCTGTTTCAACAGAACTTTTTGTATTTGCATCTTTATAACCCTTAACTGCCAGGCTGGCAATTCCAGAAACTTCAGGTGCAGAGCAGTTATAAAATATTCCTTTAGAAAGTAGTTTATTAAACAACAAATTTTTTTGTCACCAATCACCAGGCAATGTCACCGTGACTGCTGATAAAAATAGATTAATTTAAATTTTAAAGATCACCTTCTGTTGCCATTAGGAACTGAATATTTTTCATTAGAAACTGAATATTTTTCATTAGTGCCAGAGATTTATCAGAATTACTTTCCATTCTAAGAGATGGGAAAGGCCTTGATAATTCATTTATCACTCCATAAGGCTAATTTATTAATAAAACCAGACACCTTTGTGGAGGCTGCTGGACAAAATCATTGAACTGAGGTTTGATTTTTGCAATAGTCAGCTGAAGAGGGAAGAATCTGTATAACATCAGGACATGGGTGGGTAAATTCACTGGGGTTTGTAATCCAAGCCCTTCTTCTGCAGTCTAATAAAGAAAATTTCTACTTTTACACCAGTGAAGAAGAAATGGGTTTGAGTTCAGGATGATAACAGGGCTGTGAATATCCTGCCTTCCCCTTTCTCCATCCCCCAGGTGCCCTATAATCTCCTTGGTGTATTTCCCCCTTCTTGTTCTGAATTTCCACAAAAGAAATGTTCCTTTTTAGCCATTCCCAGCTACACCATATATTTTTTTCCCCTATTGGCTGCAAGAGCAATGATCTCAACTAGATACTGCTGCTAAAATTACATCCTGCTTTTCCTGCCTTGGTCAGCCTGCCTGTTTAAAGTTGTCACTTAATTCCCTGCCAAAACTGTTGTCATCTCAGTAGAAACCTGGCAAAATTACCTTAAAATTAGCTTAATAACATAATTTACACTTGCATTTTAAAATGTAAGGGAAACCTGTGTCTCTAAGCAAGCCAGACAGCTCCTTATTGCCATGAAACCGTTCAGCACCCACGGTGACTTTTCCCCAACCTCGACTCATTTGGGTTTTTTTCTTCAATAGAAGCCCATGAATGAACCCATACTGGGAACTTTGCTTTGTTTATAATTTCTCAGTGTGAAAATGCTGCTGAAGCAGAGCAATATTTGCACAACATAACTCAGAGGACTGAAGAGAGCAGGGGTTGCTGATTATAGGTTGGCATAAGGGCTCTGGATGTGAAATTTTCGGGTTTGCTGTGATACCTGCAGATCAGGCTCTGCTCAGGGGGACCAAGGGAGATTCCTCTGTGACAGGGCAAGCTGATCAAGGGTGCTGAGCTGGAAAAGGCAGCACCTTGGGCTGATGGCTTTAGCAGTTGTGGTTTTCCTCGTGGTCAGGAGCAAAGACGTGAAGGGAACACACAAAACTCTCTTTTTTCCTGCCTGTTAAGGATGGTGGCTGCTGGGGAGCGAGCAGCTCTGAGGGACCACACCCCTGGACAGGGGTTAAGGGAAGAGGAGGGGGAAAAAGGTAGAATTTGATCTCTACTCACATTTATGGGACAAAAGGACATCAAAAGAGTCTGCCCATCTTGTAGCTTCTTCTGTTGACAGTCTTCTGTAAGGAAAGGAAGAGGCAAGTTACAGACAAACCACAGCTGCCCATCCCCTCTGGAGATGTTTGGTGAGGACACCGAGGAAGGCTGGAATTCCTCTCACCTGGTTTTGGAGGTCTAGGGTGTAGAACTGAGCCAAGTGACCCTGGGCTTCCTTTAGAATCACTGAGGAGATCCCAAGGGACCTGCAGGGACTCTGCTCAGCTCACATGCCCAGGCAGGCAGGTAAAATAGGCCAGATGAATCATAGCCAAAAAGGCACCAATTTTTCCTCATTGACTCTAAGCAGAGGCCCAGGAAACAAGCTCAGATGCAGACATTTACATTGTAAAAGCCAAAAGTCAGGCGAAATGGAACTCAGCCCTGCACAAGTGTTTATTTCTCTTGCTTGCCTTTCAGAGGAAGGACAGATCTTATCTCAGGTGGAAGCAGGGACTTGTGATCAGACGAGTCCCATCCCACACTTCTCAATCAGCATTCTGGAGGGTTTGAAGAATCTCCCTCCAGCACTGTGCAAACCATCACCCGATTTTTGGCAGTGTCAAATACAAGGCTGAGCTGAAGATGACCTGAAATTTCTGGTCACCTCTTACACCAAGCCAGCTGCTCAGGCTTTGATTTGTGATGACAGAGGTGTAAATTACATCCTCAAAGAGGTGCAGACATGTCCCCCACACAGCAGTGGGGACTGGGAGCACGTCCTGTCTCACAGTGCTAAAGATCCAGTAATTTCCTGAGGCTGTTCCTGCTGGATCCGTGCCGGTTTGTTTTCCTCCTGGAAGCACTCACAGCTCACACAAAGTACAACGAAAGGAAGACAGTACTGGAGAGGGGTGGTGGGTGGGGAGGGGAAGGGGAAGGGCAGGAGTGGGGTTGGGGTGGGATGCTGCAGCTATACTCACTTCAAAGCCCGGTTGGGCTTGTCCGGAAGAATAGCTGTGAAATCATTATATGAGTCTGATTTGTGAGACAGGCAGCCCAGGCGAGTCCTCATCCCTCTGCTCCTGCGGTCGAGGTGGGGAAGCAGGGGTGTTAGCAGGGGAAAACCAAAGAACAGGATGATTATAAGTCTAGCCAGCTTGGCAAAAGAAAAAGAACAAACCCAAAAAAAAAAAAAAAAAAAACAAAAAAAAACCCCAAAACTCAGCGGCTCTGTGCCAGATCTGTGTCCTTGGTTCCCTCATGTGTGAGAGGGACCCTGAGACATCTCCAGGCTGATGTTAAGGGTGAACACAGCACTAGAGCAGCTGAAGGCTCCTTCACACAAGGCTTTCAGCTGCCTTGGCTGGCAGAAAGGCTTCGAAAAGCTGAGCTTTGGGATGGTTTCTTGGAAAGTCCTGCTCTGGTCTGGTGTGGGAGGAGGGCAATGGGCAGCAGTACAAGAAATCGGTCACCACGTTCCAGCAGCACCAAAAATACCAGAGGTGGAGGGCAGGAGGGGGCTGGAGGAAGGAGAGGGGTGGGAAGGCACCTGCAAGGTGAGCCTGTGCTGCAGCCCCCTGAGTTCCCAGCCAGGATCGATCCCGAGCGGCTTCTTTAGACTCAGGATTACATAAGCAGGATCAAACTGCCTGTTTCCAGACACGCTTACCCAGGCAGAAAATGGCTTTATAGCTTTTTTTCCTCTAAATTTCAGCCCAGCCCCAGAGCCTTCGATCCCGTGCCAGCCCCTGGTGTCCTTGCCCAGCCCCTTCCTGGGACAGCAGCATCCTTCATTACATAACCCAGGATGGGCAGGACAGAGGGACAGGGAAAGGGAACACATGCACTGCACGGGACTGGCATCACCCTCTCCCCAAAAATATGGGGGGGCTGCTTCTAGGGTTTGCATGGGCTCTGTGATCTGCCTCTGCAGCCCGAGGGTGTCTCCTCTTGGAGAGTCCCTGGACATCCAACTGGGCCATTCTCTCCTCGGGACCATGGGAGGAACATCCAGTGACCCCATCTCCACTTCTCAGCTGCTGGACCTCCTTTGGAGCTGCTGAAAGCCCTGCTCCAAACCCTGCTCCCAGACAGATGCCCAGTACTCTCTGTGGCTGCACAAGTACAGCGTTTTTTCCCCTTCCATCTGTAATTCTTGCAGAACACTTCAGCACCAGCGCCTGAGCCAATCTGTAGCGCGCCTGTTTCCCCCTTCTCCTCCCGCCCTTCGGAGAGCTTCTATTATTGCACATTTTAATGTAATCTTAAAGCAAATTAAATGTTAATTAAATGCACCGAGTGTCTCCCTGGTGCAGCGCAGGCAGCTCGCAGCTTTTAACAAGCACAAAACCCAGGAGCTCCTCAGTCACAGGAATTGTTGCACAGCCTCCAGCTACGGCCCCACGGCCGTGGGCACTGCACAAACTCCAGAGGACAGCACAGGGAGTGCCACGTTCCCAGCTGTGCTCCAGTGGACACCAAACCCACTAGAGGATCCTTCTGGTCCTTCTCCAGATGCCTGCTTCCCTCCCCCTTTCTGTGCCCTACTCTGTCTGCTCACGAATTTCCCAGCAAGAGGTGTGACAGGCGTCACCGCAGCGCTGCTCCCATTCCCCTGTGATGCCTGAGATCAAGGGGCTGCAGCAGGGAATCAGAGCTGGGAGCTGGTTCCTCATGGAAAACACTTCTCTCAGTGAGGACTTCCAAGACAGGACACAGGGGAGAGAGAGAGAGGGAGAGAAATTGGGTGTGCAGGAGGTGGAGAGGCAAGGGAAGGGCAGCAGGGGACACTGCAGTGGGCAGAGGGGCTTGCTGGACGAGGCAGACAGTGACAGGATGGCAGGGTTGGGGGATGCACCGTGTTCTTTCCAGTTACCTCCGTGGGATCAGTAAGGCAGCCATTCAGGCATCCAGCTATGGTTAACCCTTTAACTGGCTGGCTTGGACCGCAGTCAGGGCTGCTTGCAGGAGGCAGGAGGGCAGGAAGAAGGGATTTACTCTTTCATGTCCTGGCACTTAAAAATACACCAAAAAATCCTCTTTTCCAAAGCCAAGAAGGGCCAGTTGTCCTCAACCCATTTGATCCTTGCCTCCTAGAGTGGAAAGTCAATTGTTCAATGGAAGACGTTGAGAGTTGAGGGATGGCCACAGAGGAGAGACAGCATTTCCTTCTAAGACCAGGTAAAGTCCAGCTTCAGGTCTGAAGCAGTGTGAGTTTGGTGTCCCAGCTCACCAGGGAGCAGCAGGAGTTGGCATTATCCCGCTCATCCTCCAGCACCTCCGAAGGTCTCTCCTCAAGGGGCAGAGCTCCGGGCTGACCTCGCTAAGAAGACCAAACTACCTCTTGTGCCTGTCCCTCCAGGTCATGGCTGGTGTTACTGGCCAGGCATCACGGAAAAGCTGGCACTGCAAACAGAACAACAGGAGGACTTCACACATCTGCAGGCGCTGCTGCTTTCACCGCCACAGGCTCACACAAAAATAACTGGAAGCAAGCAGGGCCTCGCTGGGGTGGTGGGAGCCTGAGGGGAGCCACCAAGGAGATGCACAGCCTGCAAAAGGGGAGGGAAGGAGAGAAGGAAAGAAGGAGGGAAGGAGACCGGAGGTGCCGGGTTCCTCGTGAGCCTTGGCACACTGGGGATCAACTGGTTGACAACTCTCACATCAGCAGAGAGTGAAGGTGAGATCCAGCAGGCAGGAGAGCCAGGGGACAGAGAACAGGACTCTACAATGAGCAAAGGCAAAGGCTTCTGGTCTGCAGGCTCCAGGTACCCTCCATGTCGTGGTGTCACTGGGAACAACCGAGGAGGAGCCCAAGGAGCTGATGAGAGCTGAGAAGGTGTGCAAGGAGCCAGGACCCTGCTCTGATGGGGCCTGGGGAGACCCGAGAGCTTGGGCTGCCTGGTGCACCATCCCTCTTAAAACCTGATTACATTAAAAAGGCACAAAGCCTCTTCCCCACTAAATTAATGGAGCTGGGATTGTGCTGCATTGCCAGTGAGTGCATTCCCTTAATCCTCGCCCCGACCGGCTGCTTCTCTGACTGAAATCAATCCTTGTAATTCCTTAAGCCCCTCTAAATTTCCTCATTAACAGCCTCACCCCCATGTGGGGCCACAGCACATGACTTCTTAGAGTCCAGCAGCTCCTGCTTCTCTTTCCCACTGCTGCTCCGAGCTGGCAGTGGAGCCATCTGCCCTCTCCCCCTTGCAGCCTCCTCCAGCAGCCTGAATTTTGGGGTACTGTTATGAAAGAGCTTTCTGCTCACTCTCACTGCCACCCACTGAGCCCCCAGAACAAGCACCTGCACCACTGAGCAGCACCCAACTTCCCTGAGATCCCAAAGTCTGTCTGACTTCAGGGGTGCTGGACCTACATTCCCCATGGAGGCAATCCCACTGCTCAGCTGGCTTGCCCGTGGATGTTCTCTCTGTCTGCAAATAAATCCAGTCAGTTTTGGATTTAAAATGTAATCTGTGGTGTCTGGTAAATTGTAATAAAGGTCTTGGTGAGAGGTTTTGCCTCCCCTGCTCCATCCTTCGTCCTGCCTCCCCCTCCCATGGAAGGAACCCAGTCAAGGAGAACAACCAGCCTCGTCATGGATGAGTTTTGGGGGTTTCTCCTTGACAGACAGCAAGGGAGGAGTGTGATTAGGACGTTCAGGTTATCAAACCACCTGGGCAAAGATAAAGAAGCCATCCCAATCCAAAAAAAAAAAAAAAAAAAACCAAAAAAACCCCAGCAGCACAAAGGTTAAAAAACACACCAAACAAATAAACAGAACAGTAAAGCATGAGATCTCTAAGGGGCTTCAGGAGATTAAGACCATCCATTCACATGCAGGGAAAGCCAGGGGAGGGGAAAAAAAAAAAAACAAAAAAAAAAAAAAACGAGCACGGAGGCACTGCAGACAGACAGACACCGAGAAAAAGATACTCACTGCCTTTGACCTGTCCTCTCCGCCGGTGGGTCTGTGCCGACAGCGTGCTCAGCGAGGCTCTGGGGAGACAGCAGAGCGGGCTTCTTCAGAGCCAGCCCCTGCCCGGGGTGACAGGCACACCTCAGCACTCCTCCCCTCCCCTCCCAGCCCTCCCCGGGCAGCGGCAGCGGCAGCGGCAGCGCAGCTCGGAGCCGCTCTCGCATCAGCCCCAGCCCGGCTGCGCAGGAGCCCCGCGCATCCCAGCGCTTCCCAGCTCACCCCAGTGCATCCCGCACATCCCAGCGCTTCCCAGCGCATCCCGCACATCCCCGCGCACCCAGCGCGTCCCAGCCTCGCCCACCTGGCAGCAGAAGCGCAGCCTCTCCCCCCGAGGGGCCGAGGGAGCGCGGCGCAGGGCGGAGGATGCCAAAGGCTGCCGGGGAGCATCGGGGGCGGGGAGGGGGGATGCCTGCCGGGGCTGGGCTGGGATGAAGCTCCCGCCCGCCTGGCTCCGAGCCGCTCCCCGGGGCTTTAGGGAGCGCTGCTGCCCCCAGATCGCTCATCCCCAGGAGCTGCCACAGACAGGAGAGTTTCACTGAAGGGCTCGGGTGTCAGCGGGGCCAAGGGAGATTTTGGCACAAAGCAAAGGAGGATTTTATTGCTGGGCACTGCAGGACGGAAGGGAAATGCACCCAGTGGTGCTGGACATCCCTCGGTGCCCTCACCCCAGAGTGTGGGCTGCAATCCCCCTTTTCCTCCTGGTCCCACCAGAGAACACGTGTGGGATGTCCAGGGCACCACGGGGACTGTAACAACAGCCTCACCCATGGCACCAACACCCAGCAGTGACTGCACCCCGTGTCACACTGATGGGGGTCACAGCCTCGCTGAGAGCTCAGGCCACGGGATCTCCACTGATATTTTTGATCCTGACAAAGCTGATTGACTAAAACAAACAAAAAACACAGAAAGAAGAAGAATTATCATAATAAAAAAAGTCCTCTGCAGTTTAACAAGTGGTTGCCTGTCACATTCACGATTTCTGAAAAATCCCTTCACCCAGGATTTTTCTCCTGGGAAGCTGAGGAGCCTCAGAGAAAAATGAAAACAATAATTATCTCATTTGCTTCTCCTCTGTTTAGCTCATGTAAAATGTGTTTAAAAATTATTTATCCAACAAATAATTGTTTCATTAGTTTCTACTGTAAGTATTTTCATTCATTAACCAATCAGTGCCAAGCTGTGTCGAGACTCTAGAAAGAGTCACGAGTTTTCATTATTATCTTTTTAGCATTCTGTAAATATCCTTTCTGAATTCTTTAATATAGTTTAGTATAATATTCTTTAATATAATGTAATATCACAAAATAATAAATTAACCTTCTGAAAACATAAAATCAAATTCATCATTCCTTCCTACCAAAAATCCTTTCAAATACAATAATTGCCTTTTCCCTGGAAACTTGCAGTCACCTTCCTGTCTGCTCAAGTCCTGCTGGCCCTGGCACCCCGGTGCTGTGAGCAGGAAACATGCCTTGAGATAGCACATTATCAGCAGCCCCATCCCTGGGGAGAGGCAAAACCTGCTAGAAAAACACGGGGATTAGCAGCAGTGCAGCAAAGATCCCGGCTCTCCACCAGCCTGCAGCCCCCTGCACTGCCTGCCGTGCTGTGGAGATGTTTGCCTTGTTCTCATCCTCTCCTGGCAAAGCCCAGGTCGCCCTGGCTGGGATTAATCACATCTCCACTTATCAGAAGACAAGCACTGCAAAAATGCCCCGGCCAGTCAAAGGTTGAGGTTCATCCTCTGCCTCTCTTGCCACAGGCTGCTTTGGCCGAGTTAAATAACACTCAGCTGCAGCCCTTGCCCCAAACCCAAGCCAAATTTAACTCCTAACCTGTCATTTTTGGTTTAATGCAGCATTTCCGTGCCCCCAGGTTCCCTCTGGGCGTGCAGGGGGTCACAAGTGACAAGGTTTTTGTAACAGTCCCAGGACATCCCTGAGCTCTCGCTCACAAACACATGGAGGAGGTCACCAAAATGTTCAATCCACACAGCTCGGGGTGATTCTGCTCCATTATTCAGATTTTTCTGAGTCTTTGCTGCAGTCCCAAACAGATCAGGCTCTGGTCCACCAGCACTGGATGGGACAAAATCCTGGATCATGAGAGTGCTCCCATTTCTACCTCTGCTTTTATATATATTTATATATATTCATCTATATCTTTGTATTTTTTTTAATTTTATATAATATATAAATATATCAATTTTGTATATTTTGTATATGTATATAAATATTATTATAATTATAAATATGTACATCCATCTTTTTTATCTTTATCTAAATATCTGATTTATATATTTCTATAAATACATCTCCTATAAATTTCTATAAATATATCTTTTTAGACATTGCCATCTCACAGCCATCACCACGATGAGAACCCCAATTCCTGCTTCTCCAGTACCTCATTAGACCCTTTTTGTGAGCTCAGTGAGATCCTGAATAACACACAAATGACTCGGAATGCCAACAATTTTTCCTTCTAGTTTCCCGGGGCAGGTGTGAGTTAATAGAGAACAAGAATAAGTGAACTGTTCTGACACAGGCACTATGGGAAATGTAATTAAATTGCAGATAAAGAGAATTATGGGGTTTTTACAGGGTAATATTTTAGAAAGCTTCTGTGCAGTAGGTTTACAGCAAATTCCTTCTAAAACAGCCCCCCTGCTTCCGACCATTCTTCAGTTTCTATTTCAATGCTTTTAATAAAATAACTCATTTTGATATTAGGCTTGAATCCCATCCAAAAATTTAAATCTCTCCAAAAATTACTCCAAAGCAATTTCCTCCTAACCTGGCAGCAGCAAACACAGCAGCAGTGACCAGGGGCAGCGTTGGGAGCATTGGGGCTGTCACTCTGGAAGGGCAGGAGGGAATTTGCCAGCCTCTTCCCTACACATCAATCTCCCTCTCCAGGGTCCTTTTTGTTTTCAGTGCCTCCCTGCCTATTCCAGGTGTTTTGACCACTGATTGTGACTCAAATGGGTTTTACCCAAAAAGTCTCACCCAGACCAGCTCCACCAGCTGCAGCTGCTTTTACTTGGTGATTTTTCTCTGGCAGCATCTCTCCTGGCTGTGCCGTGCTCCAAGGGCCTTGTTCAAGCTTTCACAACCCCTTGGTCCAAGAGGATTTTCTCTCCTGCCAAGAAAAGCTCTTCTTCACTTTGCTGTGGTGCTGGGCAGCTACATCCCTGTAGTGAAGTCATCCCCTGGTGTGTTTTCATGTTTTTCATTTCTGCTGCCTCTGAGATCTTTCCAGAGGATGCTCAGCAACCACAGGAAGGTGCCCCTGCCCGTGGCAGGAGGTTGGAACTCGATGAGCTTTAAGGTTCCTTCCAATCCAAACCCTTCTGGGATTTTGTGTGGGCTCTGTGGCTGCAAAATGCCAATCACAGGGGCTGGCTGCCTCCCACAGCAGTCCTGGCTCTGGGAATTCAGGTGAGCTGCAAAGCCTGCCTGAGGCTGAGCCACAAACCTGCAGCACACTGCTGTAACCCAGGGGGGATTGGGGCTTTTGCTGCACTACTGAAAGGAGTAAAATGTCATTTGCTCTGCTTCATAGTCATTCCAGATTTACCCAGACTCCAGAGTGGCACTGATAGGGCCCAACCCCAAGGGAATTCAGATTAGTAATTAATTAATCACTCTCCAGAGAGTGCTCTTCTCCAGCACCTTTTACAATTAAACCTGGAAGGAAATTACTTGGAACTTGCATCCAACTCTGCTCACTGTGCCAGGCTGCCCTGCTGTCTTGTCTGAAAGCACCCTTGGTCCAGCACAAGGTGACTGCCTTTGAAAGAAGGAATTATGATCAGTGTAGATCACAAAAACAAACCACACACTTATCTTAATTGCAAACAGAACCCCCTTCTAAAAAATTAAAAAATCTCAGGTAATGTGGACAGCAGGAAATGTCCACAGATGAAGCTCAGAATGTTTTTAAGGAGTTGATTTATCTGTTCATCTTAAACCTCAAATCATTCTCCACGTCAGGCCTGGCAGGGAGGAAATCCTAAAAGGTGAAAGAAGCAGAGCCAGAGTTTCAGGGACAGGTGAGGAGAGCAAGCATCTCACATGCGCTCGCTGAGGCAGGGCAGGAGATGGGAGACACCCACCGAGCCAAACTCCCCTTGAAAATGAAAGCACCCGTTCAAAAATAGAAATAAAAGCAAGTTACATAAAGTGAGATCCGCAGATGTGTCTGTGGCTCAGCTCGAGAGCGTGGCAGCTATTTAAACTGTGCCCTGTGTCAATGACAGAAGTGTCTCCTGGCCATGCTTGTGGCTCCTGGGCTCGGTGGCTGCCGCAGCAGAACAGATGCTTCCCCTGCTCCCTCCCCAGTCCCTCCGGGCAGGCAGGACACAAAACCAACAGCAAAGCAGGGCAGGAAGCTCCAGGCTGAGAAGGGCAGGCGGGAACCAAATTTTCCCTTTAAAGCACTTTATTACAATTTCATAATTGCTCTCCGAGGAAAGGCGCTGCCGTGGCCAGAAGCAGCTCCGCGGAGAGCAGCGCTGGGGAGGATGGGGAGGATGCCGTGAGTGCGGAGCAGGGAGGCAGAAGGGATTGGAGCTGACACAGAGCTGCTCTGTGCAGCCTTGGAGCCCTCCCAGCTCCCAGCATCGCTGCTGCTGTCAATATGGCAGCGGCTGGAGCACAGCTCCGAGCGTGGCTGGGAAGCTGGGACCGACCCACCCCGGCACACGGAGCTCCACAATCATCCCCTGCCTCGGATCGCCCCGGCCCTGGCAGGGTCTGATTGAGATCTGATGCTCAGCGCGGGTCAGGGAGCCAGCCTCGCTGACAGATAAGGTTAATTTTCTGCTGGGAGATCATCCGAGGTGCTCGCAAGCAGCCTGCATTCCGTGAGCTGACTACCGCAAGCGAGCTGTTTATTGAGTGTTGAAAATCAGCCCCAGACCTCGGGGCTGCAGCCCCAAAGCCATTTATGATGGACAAGGTCTGCTTTTGCTCTGCTCTTATCGCTGTTATTCCACAGACCGGGGCCCGCAGGGCATCCAGGTCCCTGAGCGAGGATTTCCTGGGGCCATTGGCTGCTCCATGGACGCACTCCCACCACAGCAAAACACCTGAGCACGTGCTTGGCTTTAAACACCTCAGACAGGATGAAATACAAACAGAGCTAGCCACAAGGCTGAGCTGGGATTTCTCTTTCATCCGTCTCTGGAGGCTGCTGCTGTAGCCTGAGCTAAAATATAAATGAGGCGAGCGAGATGAGCTCGTCCTCTTTCTCCAGCAGATTTTTCTTTCATAAAAATGTCTGATGCATCCAGCAGCAGCTTCTCCTCGGGAGAGTGGCTGCCAGCAGCGCCCGTGCCCTGCCAGGCTGGAGGGAGACGCCAAAGCCCAGATGGGCATTGTCCCCAGAGCCGCATGGCAGGGGGACAGGGTGGCAGGGTGACGGGGCAGGCTTGTCCCGGGGGGCTGCAGGGACCAGAGGAGGGCGGCACGGCAAGGCAGGGGAAGCTCAGCCCGCTCATTATGCGACCTGTGGGCTCCCCAGCCGGAGGAATCCCACCGCGTTCCGCTGGGATGGGGCACAGCAGCCCGAGAAGATGCCAGCACAACGGGCCCCTTGTATTTGTCAGCTGTGCCAAATATTATTGTGTTATTTCCCCCACCCAGGGGAGAGCAAGGAGCTGACCCTCACTGCTGTGGGGGTGGTACAGCAGCCCCGCAGTCAGGGCAGGAGCAAAATAAACCCCCCAGTCCAGCTGGTTCTTCCCCAAAGAGTGCACATGCCTCTGCTATCTGCAAGTTTTCTCTCCAGCCTGGCTCAGCACAGCTCTCTCCTCTCCAACACGGAATCTTTTCGCTCCAATTGGTCTCGTTTTTAACCAGCTCAGCCCCAGCGCTCAGTCACAATGCCACAGAGACCCCAATATTCAAAGCCAACACAATCCACCATTTTAAAACCGCAACAGTGGCAAAGCAGGGCGGGGGGAGATGCCGGGATGCTGAGGATCTCCGAGGTGCAGGCACGAGCACAAGCACGGGCTGGTGTTTTCTCCCAGCATCCAAGGCCCAGCGCTAATCCCATTGCAACGGAGATCGCCCAGAGCCGGTCCCGCTCCTCCCCAGGCAGGGCTGGGCTGAGCCTAAGGAAAGCTGCTCTTTCCCCGCCTGCTAATCAATCACCAGCCGTGCCCGTGTCCCTGTGACCATTCACAAGATGCCACGGGAAGATTAACGCGGGGGGAGCAGCACCGCAGTGCCACCAAGGGGGTGACACGCCAGCATCGCCCTTCCCCTCCTGCTTCGCAGAGTCGCCCTTCCCCGCAGGAAACTGGGGCAGGGACAAGCCAAAATCCCTCCTCCCGCAGGGAAGGCCTTTAATCACCCTCCTGGCTCTTACCTGCGCTGCAGCGGCGTGGCTCCGGGCGCTCGATGGCCGCGGCTGGGGTCCCGGAGCATCCCGGGCCCGGCCCCGTTATCTCCCGCGGAGCCGCAGCACCGTGCCCCTTCCCCCGGCTGCCCGGCCCCGCATCCCGTGGGAAGAGCAAGGGCTGGTGGAAGGAGGGGGGCTCGGAAGGAGAGGGAAGGGGGAGAAGGGAGAGCGGGAGCTCCGGCAGATGCGCACACACGGAGCAGGGGCTTGTGCAGGGGGCACTGCCCGCCTGGCTGCCAGCCGTGCCGCGGGCTGGGGCTGCTGGGCACCGGGAAAGGGACGGGAACGGGACGGGAAAGGGACGGGAAAGGGATGGGGAAGGGACAGGGAAGGGATGGGAAAAGGACGGGGAAGGGACAGGGAAGGGATGGGAAAAGGACGGGGAAGGGACAGAGAAGGGATGGGAAAGGGACAGGGAAGGGATGGGAAAGGGACAGGGAAGGGACAGGGAAGTGACGGGAAAGGAATGGGAAAGAGACAGGGAAGGGATGGGAAAGGGATGGGAAAAGGACAGGGAAGGGTTGGGAAAGGGACGGGGAAGGGACAGGGAAGGGATGGGAAAGGGACAGGGAAGGAATGGGAAAGGGACAGGGAAAGGGACAGGGAAGGGATGGGAAAGAGAATGGAAAGGGACGGGGAAGGGACAGGGAAGTGACAGGAAAGGAATGGGAAAGAGACAGGAAAGGGACGGGAAAGGGATGGGGAAAAGACAGGAAAGGGATGGGAAAGGGATGGGAAAGGGACAGGGATGGGAAAGAGTTGGGAAAGGGACAGGAAAAGGAGAGGAAAGGGATAGGAAAGAGTCAGGGAAGGGACAGGAAAGGGACAGGATGGATACAGGAAAGGGATAGGAAAGGGATGGGAAAGGGAGAGGAAAGGGACAAGAAACGGATAGGAAAGAGACAGGAAAGAGACAGGAAAGGGACAGGATGGATACAGGAAAGGGATAGGAAAGGGATAGGAAAGGGAGAGGAAAGGGATGGGGACTAGACAGGAAAGGGACAGGAAAGAGACAACAAAGAGACAGGAAAAAGGAAAGGGACAGGACAGAGACGGGAAAGGGACAAGAAAGGGATAGGAAAGAGACAGGAAAGAGACAGGAAAGGGATGAGAAAGGGTGGGAAAGGGACAGGAAAAAGATTGGAAAGGGACAGGAAAGAGATCAGGCCTCACACACCATCAGAGCAAGGAAAGGACTCATTCATTTTGAAAAACTCTCTCTCCTCCACATTCCTACTCCTATATTATCTACAAACAAACAACAAAACAAAACTCTCCTTTACTTTTAATTAACTAAAACAAAAAAAAAAATCCCTAAACTATAGGGTTTTTTTTTTCTTTTCTTTAAACCTATTCTAAACTAAACACCAAAAAAAACACCAAAAACTCACACCTATAACCCAAAAAGACCTAAACCACAACATTTCCAACAAGAAAAAAGTAATAAAAAACTAAATAAGCCAAGCTACAACCCACAAAAAAACTTTCTAAATTTATCATCTCCTTTAAAAGATAAATATTTTTATGATTTAACGTTATTAATTTTTATACTAATAAACACTTTGCCTATTAAATAAACAAATTTTTCCACTTTTCTCCTTTCCAAATTTATCATTGCCTTTAAAAGACAAACATTTTTATGATTTAATGTTATTAATTTTTATACTAATAAACACTTTGCCTATTAAATAAACAAATTTTTCCACTTTTCTCCAAAAAAATCTTTTCCCAAAACCAATTTTTTTTAAAAAAAACCACTTAAATTTACTTTTCTAAAAAAAAACCTTTAAAATTTTTTTTCCCAAAATTACCCCAAAAAAATATTTTCCCAAAACCAATTAAAAAAAAAACCACTTAAATTTACTTTTCTAAAAAAAAAGCCTTTAAAATTTTTTCTCCCAAAATTACCCTAAACCAAAACAAATACAATTTTTGGGCTCCATGGTCTTTGTTTGCTGTTACCTGGGAAATAGATTTGCAGAGAAATCTTAAAGTTTGATGGAATGATTATATAGTATATATTTGTATGTAAATTTTGAGATAAGAACTGTTGGCTTATAAATGTTATGGAATAGGACAGACACTGTTGAGAGAGAAATGGAATTAGAATAAGTTTTAAAAGATGGTTTTGTAGATAAGACTAGATATTTTATAGAAATAGAACTATGATAGTAGAACTTACAAGGGGTAATTGTAGATAATTGGTTTTAAGGTATTTATAGTATTATGTAGTAAAAGTTGTTAGGGTAAGAAACGCTTATAATGTATTGTAATTAGGAAATAGTAGTGTAGTAAAAATTGTTAGGGTAAGAAACACTTATAATGTATTGTAATTAGGAAATAGTTGACTTTTGATTGTGATGGTGTGAATTCCAACATCTGTATTGTCTCACTCTTCACATGAGACTGAAAATAAAATAAAAGTTTTGACAATGCTTCTTAGCTGTTCTATTTTTTGGGTTAGAAAAGAGTTTAATCTGACAAAATCAGTGGTTTGTGTGAGGAATAAAATATTGGTTAGTACTGTTTTGTAAAATTGTGTGAAGACATGAAAGCCTTCATTATATGTTAAATCTAAACAACAACAGTAATAATAATTATAACAATAATGATTATAATAATAGGAAGAAGGAGAAGGAGATTTTATTTCTCTAAAACATTTTGTGCTTAGAAGCGTGTGATCCTCTGGAAGGAAGGGAGAGCTTTGTACCTCGTGCCTTTTACAGCTTTTTTGAAAGTTCCCAGCTCTCTTTCCCTCCTCTGCTCCAATGTTTTGTCACTCAGATCTCACCTGGGGGAGCTCAGTTTGGTCAGAAGGGTTAAAATAAAGTCAAGTCAGATGCTTGAGGTATTCTACCCTCCCCAGAATTCCCACTCACCCGTTTTACTCCAAGATTTCCCACTGGTGTTTGCAGACATGTGGATCTCTAGCCACAGGGCTGCTGTTAATAGAAATCAAGGGGTGATGCATGGAATGACAAGTGCAGAGTTTCCAAGCCAATGCCCTGCCCAGCAGTTACCCTGGGAGCACGCCAGGCCCATCCCCATCTCTGGGTGGCTGTGTTCAGTCACACACCTTCAAGACTCCCTAAAATTAGGAACATTCCCACAGCAGAGGACAGGATGGGTCCTGCCGAGCAAAATGCAGTGCCGTGCCTGCTCCAGTGGCCTCAGGATGTTGGCAGCCAGCTCCAGGAAAGCCCCTCCTCACAGATCACCCTGCCAGGAGCTGTCAGAAGATATTTCAAGTCTCAGCATTCCATCAGCCCCGCAAGAGAACAGGTCTCGCTGTGGGTCCATGGCTATGGATGGATTCTCTGCCTGGAGCAGCACATCCAAGGCCCAAGGGATGATCACTTCAGGGCCTTTAAGCAGGTACTGAGGCCTCAGGTTGGAGCTTTTCTATTTTTCAGATTCTGCACTGCTTTAGCGTGCAGTTCTGAGCTTCATATGAGGGGATGGTGAGCTCTCTGCACAGAGCAGGGAGACAAAACAATTCCTTCTCTAGCTGGGCACCAAGGAGAAATGATCCAAATCTCAGGCCCGGACAATTAACTGCAATATGCAAATGGAGCAGAACTGATAAAAGTGAGAGACCCCATCACTGGGGGTCCATTTTTTGTGACCATTTTGGTTCATCTTGGGTGTAGCCCTGGCTGGGCTCTTGTGCTGCCCAAGGTGGATCCATTGAGGCCTTTTAATAAATCCCTACTTTATTCTTCAGCTCTGTCCAGCCTCTGTCCTAGGTCAGCTTTGACAAGGCATCAGTATCCCATCCTCATTCCCACCACAAGAGCAGTGAGGAACTGAGCTTTGATGCCATGACAGGATCATGATTGTTTCTCCATGCCAGAGAGATCCCAGTGGTGCTGGGGAGCTGGATCCCTTTAGGATGCTAAAATTGGGAGCACTGTCACTGCAAAGGGGGGTGTGGGCATCTCTCTTGCAGCTCTCTGCATCTGTATTACTGACATCACTAACAAAGCTGCCAGGAGTCTCTGAGGATGCACAGCTTTCCTACAGCCCAGGGCTGGGAGATTTCCAAGTGACATCCATTCTCTGTAGGGCTGTTTTTTATGCAGATACACTGCAGAGCCATTGGGGAGGGTGGGCAAGAACCATCTTTGGGGGAAATTAATCCCCACATCTGTGTCTTGTGGGGAGTGAGGAGCTGTCTGCTCTGTGCCCTAAGCCAAACTTCTAGTCTCTAGGAGGACAGGCACTCTGGCAGCCTTGTAGGCTGGGATCTGACTCTCCCAGAGGGGGAAAAAAGGGCAATTTGATGATTTGCAGAGTGGTGTCCAGGACTTGCAAGGGGACACTGTCAGTGCCACTCTCTGTCACCACCGTGAAGGTGCCCCCAGCTTTAGAGGGGCAGGGACAGCTTCTCCCTGGGTGACCCAGGATTTCCAGCTGCATGTGGAAAAGCAGGTTTGTTTTGTATGCATGCAAGATCCTAAACTTAGCGAGCAAGATGTTAATTTGGGAGGGGAAAATAGGCCATATTTATGTAACTGCGAAAAGCTGCAGCGAAGGCTACAGATCCAACGGGAGAGGAGCGTCTGCTCCCAGCTCAGGGCTTTGTGAGAGCTCCAGCAACTGCATATTCATCTCCCCACACCCCAAAGAACCAGCTTTGAGGCTTTCCAGGCTAAGAATAGAGGTCTTGTTGTGTTTGCTGCTCCAAGGGCCGGGTTTTGTCCGGGATTAGAGGCACCAGGGTGTGGAGCTGCAAACGGCAGCATCTCCTCCTGCCTGTCAGCTCCGGGCCCAGCAGGGATGGAGAGCACAGAATAAAGGCTGAATTCATTCCCAGCCACACAGGATGGCATTAGTGCTGGCCCTCTGCTCCCAGAGACGTCCCCCGTGGTGGATGGGGCACCCTCAGAACACGACTCCCTTGTGCACAAACAAAACCCAAGCGATTTTCCAAGCAGGGCAGCTGGGGCGGTGCCACCACTGAAATTAGCAGCTCGTCCTGGCTGTGAAGCCTGATGGCTTGGATCCCCCTCGGGTCCCTGCAGGGGCAGACAGCTCCCTGCCAGCCTGTGACATTTCTTTCTGTCACCTTCATATTTTCTCTGAAAAATCCCTTCGCCCAGGATTTTTCTCCTGGGAAGCTGAGAAGCTTCAGGGAAAAAGAAAAACAATTTTTCTCTCATTTGCTTCTCCTGTGTTTTGCTGCTTTGGAATGTGTGTGGAGATTGTTTACCCACAGGTGATTGTTTCACTGGATTCTGCTGTGAGTTGTTTTCA